CCTGTCCCTCTGCCCCTCCCCCCTGCTCGTGCTCTCTCTTCCTCTCTCTCTCTCAAATAAATAAAATCTTAAATAAATAGATAAATAAATAAATAAAATAGGGGTGCCTGGGTGGTTCAGTTGGTGCATCCGACCCTTGATCTCAGCTCAGGTCTTTATCTCAGGGTTGTGAGTTTAAGTCTTGTGTTGGGCTCCACACTGGGGGTGGAGCCTACTTAAGAAAAAATAAAAATAAATAAATAAAATAAAACTCATTTTTATTTTATTTATTTATTTTTAAGAGGGTGGGGGGTGCAGAGAGAGAAGAAGAGAGAGAGAATCTTAAACAGGCTCCACGCCCAGCACAGAGCCCAACTAGGGGCTCAATCTCACAACCCTGAGATCATGACCTGAGCTGAAATCAAAAGTCGGATGCTTAAAAAAAAAAGAAGAAGAAGAAGAGTCAGATGCTTAACAGAGTCAGTGACCGAGGAGCCCTTAAATAAATAAAGTTCAGATTCTTAAAAAAAAAAAAAGTGTTACAAATTTCTTTGCCTTTTCAAGAATACACTAACAAGACTTTTTTACTGAACTCCCTTTGTCTTCAATACTCAATGCATTTAGAGGTCTTTGATTTTTTCCTAACAATAGCTAGTATTTACTGAGCACTTGAGAAACCGCTCAACACTTTGCATAATCCTCATAAGTTCCCTAAGGAGTATGTACCACCTAGGGAGTGTGTTAGAAAAGTGAAGGATCTTGGTACAAGGCCCTGGAGATGGAACCAGAGCCTGTTTTTAAGTGGTATGCTTTCATTCATTCATTCAACACATATTTATGAAGCATCTCTGTGCTAGTATCTGTGTTAGCTACCAGCGGTACAGCCTTAAAGAACTCAGACTCAGAATCCCAGTCTAACAGGGGCACCTGGGCAGCTCAGGTCATGATCCCAGGATCCCCTAGATTGAGCCCAGATCAAGTCCCATCGGGCTTCGTGCTCAGTGAGGAGTCTGCTTCTCTCTCTCCCTCTGCCCCTCTCCCGACTTGTGCTCTCTCTTGCTCACTCTCTCTCCCAGAAAAGCAAACAAACAAACAAACAAACAAACAAACAAACAAAAAACACCTCAGGCTCAGAATCCGAGCCTAACAGAGATCAACAATAAACAAGTGAAGAAACACACAAGATAAATACAATGTGTGAAGAGAGCTATTCTATACATGACACCATGTATAGGATGGTGTAACAGAGGCTTATTTTAGATGTAGTGGTTGGCAGGGAAGGCTTTTTCTATCTCATTCAAGCTGAGATAGAAGAATGAAGAAGCCATAACTGCAGAAAGTTGTGGGGGTGGGGTGAGGGGAAGCATTTCAAGACTGAGTAAACAGCAAGTCCAAGTACCCTGAAGCAAAAAGCGTCCAGACAAAGTAACTTGATAAATCCTAAGAACAAGTGGATGTTGTCAGGGAACTAGGCAGATAAAACAGTTAGGGCGCCTGGTTGGCTCATTCAGTAGGGCATGCAACTCTTGATCTCTGGGTTGTGAGTTCAAGCCCCATGTTGGAGGTAGAGTTTACTTAATGAAAACAAAACAAGACTGGGAAAGCAGACCCAGGTCAGATCAGGTCAGACTTTGTAGAAGCCACTTTAGGGCCTTTAAATAAAGGAGGAAAATGACATCTGAATTATGGATTTTTAAAAAGATTTATTTATATTCAGGGCGCCTGGGTGGCTCCCTGCTCAGTGGAGAGTCTGCTTATCCCTCTCCCTCAGCCACTCCCCCCTTTCTTTCTCACAAGGGCTTTTTCTCTCTCTCTCAAATAAATAAATAAAATATCTTTTAAAATATTTATTTATTTGTTTGGGGGGAGGCGCAGAATGAGAGGGAAAGAGAAAATCTTGAGCAGACTCCCCACTAAGCAGGGAGCCCATGAAGGGCTAATCCTGTGACCCTGAGATCATGACCAGAGCAGAAATCAAGAGTGGGAAACTCAGCCGACTGAGCCACCCAGGCGCCCCTGAATTATATTTCTTAAAAGATCACCCTAGCTGCCATATGGAAAATGGATTAGAGAGCACCCAGAGAGAAAGATGACAAATTAAAACATGGTTGCAGTAATTTAGCTGAGAAATGGAGGTGAAAAAGATTAGGTTATAGTGGTAGAGATGGAGAGAGGTAAATGGATTCATGATACACTTTGTAGGTTAGAACCGAGTTTTGGATTTTATGACGAGGATGAATCCTTGTTGTTTTTTAACAACTAGGTGATGCTATTTAGTATGCTGGGGAAGACTGTGGGGAAGAACAAGTTAGTTTGATAAAATCGAGAGCTCCAGTTTAGATATACTATATCTGATATGCCAGGGAGAACTCCAAGTGGGAGAGGTCTAATAAGTAGTTGAATATATGACATGGGAACTCAGAGGAGAGGCCTACCCTACCATGGAAACATAAATTTAAAGATTATTAACATTTAGATGGTATTTGGTCTTGAAGAGATTATCTATATAAGGAGAGAACAGTTATTAAAGAGTGTCTAGAAATGAGCTCTGAAATATCTCAGCATTTAGAAGTCCTATGAGGGAGGAGTCAGCCATGGAGAAGGATCCCTGAAACAGGAGAAAAATCATCAGTGTGGTGTCACAGAAGCCAGTGAGAAAAGTGTTTCATGAAAGACAGAGGGCCACCTATGTGGAAGGTCGCTAACAGGTAAAAAGATGATTATAGAGAAGTGTTTATTGGATTTTGCAACACGTGGATCACTGGCATCCCTGGCAAGGCATCCTTTCAGGGGAGAAGGGTGGACGATAGATTGGGGTGGATTTAAGAGGAAATAGAGGTGAGGAAATGGAGACCTCTAGTGTAGACAACTTGTTTTAGTTTTCTTGTAAAGAAGGATGAAGAAATGAGATGAAAGGATAAAGGGAAGGTTTTATTTTTTTTTAAGATGGTAATGTTCCAGTAGAAGTAATTGATGATACAGCAAGGAAAAATCCTTGAGAAGGCATGCGGGTGGGGGGGGGTGGTAATCCACAGCACTAGAGGAGGGGTCTGCCCTTTGATAGGGGCAAAAACACATCTTTCATGGTATCAGGAAGGAAGACAGAGGATGGGTACAAATACAAGTAGGTTTAAGGCTTGCCATCTAATGAGAATGTTCCTCTCTGATGATTTTTTTTTTTAAAGATTTTATTTATTTATTTGAGAGAGAGAGAGAGAATGAGAGATAGAAAGCACAAGAGGGAAGAGGGTAAGAGGGAGAAGCTGACTCCCTGCTGAGCAGGAAGCCCGACGCGGGACTCGATCCCGGGACTCCAGGATCACGACCTGAGCCGAAGGCAGCTGCTTAACCAACTGAGCCACCCAGGCGCCCCCCCTCTCTGATGATTTTTATTTTCTCAACGAAATAGGAGAATTAGTTATGGTGAAGTGAAAGAAGAAGGTGTAAAAGTTTGAAGAGAGAAAGCATGAAATACGCTATCTCTGGAAGTGGGGAAGTGGGAAAGTGAATTTACTAGTGAGACTCAGTAAGAAAAAAGTCTTTTGAGACTTGTGGTCAAGAATTTAAAGTGAAACCGTCAGCTCTTGTTAAGAAAATGAATTATTGGGTCCAACTAGAATTGGGGTTTTACCAGGTGAGTATAACGGAGAAAGAGAAAAACAAGAATTGTATTTGTAAGCAATCATAACATCTAAGCCTGGTGACAGAAGTTATGAATATAGGAATGTGAAAGTGAAAAAGTAATACATTTAATGATTTGAAGGTTTTGAGGAAGTCAAAGAATCAGAGTTACTATTGACCAGACAGTTGAGATGCTTGAAAGATTTTAGAGATGGTGTAGTTACTGGCAATAAAAAACACAGGATGACTATGACGAGGGTTGGGTGGGTATTATAGGACGGAAAGGGAGATTGTTGGAGGTAAAGAATTTGACAGAGTATTGGGCAGTCATCCAAATAGATGTTGAATGATGCGTAGAAGTAGAGATGGAAAGGAAGACAATGAGCCATGAGCTAGTATTACTTGAGGAAGGAATGATCCATCAAAAGGTCCATAGATGACAGTAACTTGGAGGGGTATTAGGGGACATGGCTAGGGTACTTAAAAGTTAGAGAGTTTGAAGTACGGATACTGGCCATTGTTTGGTTCCATATAGATATTTTAACATTGTAATTTTAAAGTATCTTAATCTGTTCAGGAGTGCTAGTGGAATTTGTTTTTGAATTTTATTTATTTATTTAAGAGAGAGGGAGAGAGAACACAAGCAGGGGGATGAAGCAGAGAGAGAGGGAGAAGCGGACTCCCCGCTGAGCAGGGAGCCAAATTCGGGACTCAATCTCAGCACCCTGGGATCATGACCTGAGCCGAAGGCAGACGCCCCAGTGCCAGTGGAATTAAAGAAAATATTATCTTCCTTCCGTGATTTATGTTTGTAAATTACTAGTCTATACACATGCATGTACACAGTCAAAACTTTTCTTTTTGAACAGAGTGCACTAACTTAAGCCTATTCCGAAGTTTATACTGCTAAAACAAACCTGTAACTTCTGTGAGGTTCCAAAATGAAATCAGAAAGATTGTGTGTGAAATCTGTAAGATTTTATTTCTCTAATTTAATTGGCCCCTCGCAAGGTAGAGTAGGTAGTAGGTACAAGGAATTTATGCTTTTGAACCGGAGAACATCTGTTCTTTCCCGGCAAGAATACCGGCAGGCAGCTCTTGGGGGTAATCAGGAAAGAAAAGGGTCCTCTAACATCTCTCCCCAGGAGCTGATAGGGCCTTGGCTATCAGGGAAAATTGCTCTGGCGAACCCATTCAAATTTCTCACAGCAAATCACAGTGGCCTACAGCCAACTCCTTTTCCGCTCATTGGCCAACTGGAAACTTCAGCACCCCCCCCCAGGCCTCCCTCTCTCATCCGGAAGCCAATCGGAAAGATTAGCGCTCCGTAACTTAGTGTCATCAAGTACCGTACTTGCAATTGGCTATTGGAGCTACCGATCGAGAAGTAGGCGGGGCCATGCCAGCTGGCCTATATAAGAGGAGGACAAAGGCGGCGCGCCGCCTGTGTCATCCGCCATCTTGTGCGAAGCAAGGTGGCCTCCACGTTCCCTGAGCGTCTTCTCCGCTTTTGCCTCGACCGCCCCTTGATCACAGACATGTCTCGGGACCGGTTCCGGAGCCGTGGCGGTGGCGGTGGCGGCTTCCACCGGCGCGGAGGAGGCGGTGGCCGCGGCGGCCTCCACGACTTCCGCTCCCCGCCACCCGGCATGGGCCTCAATCAGAACCGCGGACCCATGGGTCCCGGCCCGGGCCAGGGTGGCCCCAAGCCCCCGATCCCGCCACCGCCTCCGCACCAGCAACAGCAGCAGCCACCGCCGCAGCAGCCGCCACCACAGCAGCCGCCGCCGCTTCAGCCGCCACCGCATCAGCCGCCGCATCAGCAGCCTCCGCCGCCACAGGACTCGTCCAAGCCCGTCGTTCCTCAGGGACCCGGCCCGGCTCCCGGAGTGGGCAGCGCTCCGCCGGCCCCCGGCCCGGCACCGCCTGCTACTCCTCCGACCTCCGGCGCCCCTACGGGGCCTGGCCCCACCCCGACCCCGCCGCCCGCTGTCACCTCGGCGCCCCCTGGGGCGCCCCCGCCCGCGCCGCCGAGCAGCGGGGTCCCCACCACCCCGCCTCAGGCCGGGGGCCCGCCACCTCCCCCCGCAGGGGGCCCGGGCCCCGGGCCTAAGCAGGGCCCAGGACCCGGAGGCCCGAAAGGCGGCAAAATGCCAGGCGGGCCGAAGCCGGGCGGCGGCCCGGGCCTAAGCACTCCTGGCGGCCACCCCAAGCCGCCGCACCGAGGCGGCGGGGAGCCCCGCGGAGGCCGGCAGCACCACCCGCCCTACCACCAGCAGCACCACCAGGGGCCCCCGCCCGGCGGGCCCGGCGGCCGCAGCGAGGAAAAGATCTCCGACTCAGAGGTGAGTGTCTCTTGGAGCTACGCGTCGGTTTCCCTAAGATGGCGGCGGCCCCCTCCTCCTTCCTTTCCCAGCCTCCATTTTGTCGGAGACCGGAAAAGGCGCGTGCGCGCGGGCGGTGGAGGGCGGGGCCGCTGCCGGAGCGAGGGGCCGACGGCGTGGGTCCGCTAGCTGGACCCGGGCTGGGCTCCGGCCTGGCGGAGGACCGAGGGAGGGTGGCCTGAGGAGGCAGCGATGAGAAGCTGTGCTGGGCCCTGTTAAAGCTAGCGGATCTTGGGAACCAGAGTAGAGCGTGAATTGTAGGGTTGGAGAGGTCGGGGAGTTCTGGCCTCAAAGCGCGGGCGCAGGTCGTGCGGGTGACAGCAGGTTTTTTATCACTTTTTTTATTTTTTAAAGATTTTATTTATTTGACAGAGACACAGCGAGAGAGAGGGAACACAAGCAGGGGAAGTGGGAGAGGGAGAAGCAGGCTTCCCACGGAGCAGGGAGCCTGATGTGGGGCTCGATCTCAGGACCCTGGGATCATGACCTGAGCCGAAGGCGGATGCTTAACGACTGAGCCACCCAGGCGCCCTCTTTTTTCGTTTAATACTTGATCACCATTTCAACTTAATGTCTGCTACGATTTAGGTTTGTCAGGGACAGTGAACAGAGACAGCTGATGAGGTTGCTTGTGTAGAGTTGAGTCTAGAGAGGGCTGTAGGTCTATTACCGAGTGTTCTGGATGGTTTGGGCTGTTTGATGTTTGAATAGTTGTTATGTTGGAAATACCGCAAATACAGAATCTTGACTTTAAATGGAACAGAAGAGCAACCCGATTGGTGGTATTAACCCAGTCTGGGAAGAGCGAACATTGTTCACCTGGATTTTTCAACTTGCTAAGGTCAGTCGTTTCTGAAAATTTCCTTCTTTTTTCATTAGGGGTTTAAAGCCAACTTGTCTCTCTTGAGGAGGCCTGGAGAGAAAACTTACACTCAGCGTTGTCGGTTGTTTGTTGGGAATCTACCTGCTGATATCACAGAGGATGAATTCAAAAGACTATTTGCTAAATATGGAGAACCAGGAGAAGTTTTTATCAATAAAGGCAAAGGATTTGGGTTTATTAAACTTGTGAGTTTTTTTTTTAATGTGGATTTAGAGGGTTTTTTCCCTTGTTTTTCACTACTACAAACTCTAGTGTTCAAACAACAGCAATAAGTTGGTCTTTAAAATTTTCATCATTTTAAAAAAAAGATGCCACTGTTGTGAATAATTGTTGATACTAAGAAAAGAGAGCAGTGGGTGGGTAAGACCTTTACCTACCCTGGGTGGTGTCAGGGAGGGCTGCCTGAAGATACTTGAATTGAGCTGGAGGAAGAAAGGGAGTGGGAGTTAGCCTTTTGACAGTTTGAGTGGGCACTAACTAATGTTGAGCTTATATTAACATGAGTATGTCTGATACTTTCAGGAATCTAGGGCATTGGCTGAAATTGCCAAAGCTGAACTTGATGATACACCCATGAGAGGTAGACAGCTTCGGGTTCGCTTTGCCACACATGCTGCTGCCCTCTCCGTTCGAAATCTTTCACCTTATGTTTCCAATGAACTGTTGGAAGAAGCCTTTAGCCAATTTGGTCCTATTGAAAGGGCCGTTGTAATTGTGGATGATCGTGGAAGATCTACAGGGAAAGGCATTGTTGAATTTGCTTCTAAACCAGCAGCAAGAAAAGCGTTTGAAAGATGCAGCGAAGGTGTTTTCTTACTGACAACGTAAGTTCATATGCTTATCCTTTTTATTTATTAACTTGGATGAAGAAGTTGGGATAAAACCAAAACCAGTTAAGATGGAACCGTTTTTATTACTAGAACTCCTCGTCCAGTCATTGTGGAACCACTTGAACAATTAGATGATGAAGATGGCCTTCCTGAAAAACTTGCACAGAAGAATCCAATGTATCAAAAGTAAGATTGATTTAATCTAAGCATTTTTTTTTTCAAAGATTTTATTTGACAGAGACAGCGAGAGAAGGAACACAAGCAGGGGGAGAGGGAGAAGCAGGCTTCCTGCGGAGCAGGGAGCCTGATGCAGGGCTCGATCCCAGGACGCTGGGATCATGACCTGAGCCAAAGGCAGACGCTTAACCCACTGAGCCACCCAGGCGCCCTTAATTTAATAAGCATTTTTTAATTGTAAATGAGAACTTGTAATAATTTTTCAATTTTGCTTAGAGAATGCAAAAATTTTTGAAATGCGTGTGCTTGAGAGAAATCTAAGGCTCAGGAAGTTTAGAGGTTTTGAAGTAGAGATGCTCAAATGCTTAATGTTTGTTGCTGAGATAGGAATATTTTATATGTAGTTTTGTCCTTAAAAACAACGGTGTGATGAATAGGTATCTTATTAAGGACTGGAAAAAAATACTCTTTGAATAGGAATTTGGTTAGAGAAAATAAAATTAGGAAATGGGGACGGTAGGATTTATTTCCATTGCTCTATATTCTCCATTACTGCATCACTTTGGAACCTTATTATTTTTATATTTTTTATTACTTTGTAAAGATTTATTAGAGAGCACGGGTGAGTGCGCGTGGGGTGTGGAGGGAGAGAATCTCAAGTAGACTCCCTGCCAAGGCAGGGCTCAATCATGACCTGAGCCAAAATCAAGAGTCAGACTGAGCCACCCAGGCACCCCTGGAATGTGTCATTTTTGATGTGAGGCTATTTTACATGAACCAAGGGGGCCTATACCTTTTGGCATTTCTTACATGTGATAGGCCAGGTGGGACATCCGTGTTTTTAGGGCAACCAGGTAGTATTTGTTGTGTGTGTCCCCAAATTGGTTCATGTTTAAATATTGTCAGGGAGAGAGAAACGCCTCCTCGTTTTGCCCAGCATGGCACATTTGAGTATGAATATTCTCAGCGATGGAAATCCCTGGATGAAATGGAAAAACAGCAAAGGGAACAAGTTGAAAAAAACATGAAAGATGCAAAAGACAAATTGGAAAGTGAAATGGAAGATGCCTATCATGAGCATCAGGCAAATCTTTTGCGTCAAGGTAAAAGACCCTCTTGTGTAAATTTCCCTGATAGGATCAGTTGCTTTTTGAATTTTTTAGAACCACATTAATGTGAATTCAAAACAATTTTCTAATGTTCAGATCTGATGAGACGCCAGGAAGAATTAAGACGCATGGAAGAACTTCACAATCAAGAAATGCAGAAACGTAAAGAGATGCAACTAAGGTAAAATTTTTGTTAAGCTAATTAGCCTTTGCTTCTGGGTTAACATTTAGAGGAAAAGATAGACATAATTTTGCCAGTGAGTGTGATGGAGCACAGAGAGGTTAAATACTACTGTGTCAGTGTTGGTTTAACACAAAGTTGGGAGTGTAAGGTTTTGATTAATGACGCCTGTTTTTGTTGCCAGAATGCTTCTAAGTCTATTCTGCACTGTCTCCAGACCTTCATGTGTGTTTGCTGTAATAACCTAGACTTGTAAAGTTCTGAGGCAAACTACTAGCTTTCTTCAAATTGGCTCTTAAAAGATATGGATGGCACTTTAGTTTATATGCTTGATGATTATTTCTAGGCAAGAAGAAGAACGACGTAGAAGGGAAGAAGAGATGATGATTCGTCAGCGTGAAATGGAAGAGCAAATGAGACGCCAAAGAGAGGAAAGTTACAGCCGGATGGGCTACATGGATCCAGTAAGTAAAATTCTTTTGAAATGTAATTGGAGTTGTCTACAAAACTTGTAGGTATCTAAAATGAAATTTTATTCAAATAATGACCTTTCACTTCATTGCTGTTTTTTCTACAAATGTGTTATTATCACGGTTAATACGCTTTGTTGTATTTTCTTGGCTGGGCCTAAAGATTTCATTAGTTGGGAGGAAGCTTTACGGGTTTTCTGATAACTGAGTCTCAACAATTGGTTTTAGAATATTGGTTTTAAATGTAGTCTTAACCTTTTTTTGTTTTGGAAATTTCTGTCTTCTCAAGAATTCTTAGTACAGGTATAGTACAGGTGTACGAAAGGGCTTTTTTTTTTTTCTTGCAGAGAGAAAGAGACATGAGAATGGGTGGTGGAGGAGCAATGAACATGGGAGGTAAGCATGAAGATCAAATTAGCAATACCATTAGAGAGCAATGTTCTGGTTGAGTTGTAACCAGCATTTTTGTTTCCTAGATCCCTATGGTTCAGGAGGCCAGAAATTTCCACCTCTAGGTGGTGGTGGTGGCATAGGTTATGAAGCTAATCCTGGAGTCCCACCAGCAACCATGAGTGGTTCCATGATGGGAAGCGACATGGTAATGTATCCTGTATGACGTAGTACAAAGGAAATTCTCATTTTTCACAACTTACCTGTGTGTGTTTTGTTTTTTGTTTTTGTTTTTGTTTTTTTAAGTAGGTAACTGGACCTCTTTTTAGTTCCCTTATCATGTAAATCATAATATTGAGGAATACTTTGGCAACATAGAAGAACTCAGTGTGCGGTAACCTAAACAGAAACGGTTGCCAAGAAGTCAATGCTGTCAGTAGTATGTTGGAGTTCTCTTTGGCAATAAGTAGACATAGGTGCTTTCCATTATATTGCTTGTGTACTTTTGCACTCTAGCACATGGCAAATCCAAATTCTAAATGTTAGATGATGTTCCTGATTATTCTACATCGAAGTAAGAGTAATCAAATGGCAAACTGTCATTCATTAAGCTGATATTTGCCATAAGTATGAATCAGACTTGTAGTTTATAGTCTTAGGCATGTTTTAGTGATGTGTAGGACTTTGACCTATATTTGGTGTGGTTTCTACCCATGAAAAGGGAGTTGTTTACTGTTTTGACTCGTCGTTTCCCACTTGTTGGGCCTGTCAATAGGTGCACCTTCTAAAATAAACTGACATCTCTATTTTGCTACAGGATAGCAAAAATGAGTGACAATTTTAAGCATACTAGTTGTGTGCATTGATCTGAACCTTCTTGATGCTTCCATATTTTAACTGTACAGATAGCCTATCAGGATGCTTTAAAAACCACCAAGTGGATTGGTCTAAGTGGCTGTGTTAGGGCTTTACAAATCCGTAGGAAAATTGAATATTGGATTAAGAGGTGGGTTTAGAGAAGAGTGCATTTTCACAACTGAACTAAATCTGAATTGGTACACCTGCAGGCTTTTGGCAAAGGAGGGAAGCTGCAGCACTTAGCTCAGCTCGTTAGATTCATTTTACATACAGGAGTATAAGGATTTAGTATGGGGCCTCATCTATTAATCTACTTAAGGTTTTTTGAGAATTAGAATCATAAATAGCTGGTTGGGTTAAAACATAGTGTTATTAGCTTTCTTTAATTGAATTTTAAAAATACTGTGGGTAACATTTTGGTTTATATGCTTTCTAAAAGGTAGATTGTAGGTCTGTATCAAATTTGTAAAATCTAATTTGACGTGATGTTCCCACAATTAAGGTTCTTTGTATGTCCCGTGTAACAGGTAGGGTTCTAAGATGTTGTAATAACATAATCGTGAAATCCCAAAATTTTCTTAGAGCTTTTGTGATATACAGCATAATGCGCTAAAACCCTGAGATTTTTAGGATTTTGAGAAATAAAGGATTGAGATTTAGTTTTTTAAGTAGCCCTGCAGTATTTAGTAGGAAACATGTTGGAACTACGTATAGGAACAGTTAAACCCTGATGCATTTCCCCCCCATTTTTGGAGTGATGCTCTCAGTATCTTATTTTGAGTGGAATTTGAAAGATAGTTGAGGCTTCTGTGCTTTGTTATATCTATAGGGTTTTTCTGTTGGGGGAATATAAATTTCTCAGATTAGAAGTACTTAAAATTAGGTGGAATAATGAAATCCTGCTTTATTGCAGTTACTTAAGCTTGGTGTTTAGGCTGTTTGGGAGATAGCCAAAACATGGAATCATAGCTAACCAGTGGACTTTCAAAGACCTGAAGGAAAAGCTGGGCCGGTATGGGGGTGGGCTGTATATTCAGTCAATTTGCAAGAATATTGGCTGCTACTGTGAACATAATTGTCTCTGGTTATATAGTGATGGTTCTGAAGGTGGTATACCTGTGAGAATATGGCAACACTTTTTTAATGAAGTTACTGTGCCGGTTAAGTGACTAAATCTGCTAGTCTTTTATGCTTTTTCTTTTTGTAGTCTGGTAGCATTTTATTAAAACTTTGAACCTTTTAAGGTTTCTGCAACTTTTAGCAGATGTGTCTTAAGATCTTGAAAAGCACAAGGTTTCTTATGCAGCTCATGCCACTAACTGGTGAGTAGGTCTTTGTCACTTCATTGAGTGCATTGAATCTGTCTGGTTGGGCTTGTTAGGCTTACTTGGAAATTAAATTTCCTGTTCAGACCTTGAAAGTGAGAAGTTTGCAAGCTTTTCCAGTGGGTTAATCTGATGTGAAATTTCTTAAGACTCATTTTGGAATGGGTTTTCACATCTGCACTAATTCTTAAATTTTTTAGCACTACAGGGAAGACCTATTCTTTGAAACAGGTGTATGAGAATGGCTCAAGTGGGAACATACCACAAGGCATGTATTATCGTAAACTAATTTTCAAATTACCCTTTTTTCCTTTCTATGTTCCCGGTACCTGTGGATCGACTCATTGGTGATTGTATCGACGAACGTTGACTACGGAACCTTCTAAAATATTTACTTAACACACATGGACATCAACTACATATAATGAACTGTTAATTACTGTTCCAATAGCGTACTGAGCGCTTTGGGCAGGGAGGTGCGGGACCTGTGGGTGGACAGGGTCCTAGAGGAATGGGGCCTGGAACTCCAGCAGGATATGGTAGAGGGAGAGAAGAGTATGAAGGCCCAAACAAAAAGCCCCGATTTTAGATGTGATATCTAGGTTTTCATTCCAGTTTGTTTTTGTCTTTTCTTGTTTAGATACCAATCTTTTAAATTCTTGCATTTTAGTAAGAAAGCTACCTTTTTATGGATGTTAGCAGTTTATTGACCTAATATTTGTAAATGGTCTGTTTGGGCAGGTAAAATTATGTAATGCAGTGTTTCAAACAGGGGAATTTTTTTCCTTTTCCTTTTTTTTTTTTTTTAACTGTATAATGTCCCTCAAGTTATGGCAGTGTACCTTGTGCCACTGAATTTCCAAAGTGTACCAATTTTTTTTTTACTGTGCTTCAAATAAATAGAAAAAATAGTTATAATATTGATCTTCAACTTTGCCATTCATGCTTCTATGCACATTAGGCTAGGTATTCCACTTTGAAAGCATGAGCGTGTCTAGGCCTTTGAATGGCACATGCCATTTCTGGGAAATGTATCTGTAGGCTAAGTATTGCTTTCTACAAATAAGTACCCCCTTGTTTTAAAAAGAAGAAATGCATATTGAAGTAGTTTCATGATTTGATTTGTTTGGCATTATAGGAAGCAAGCTGGTGCTAAGTATTTTTAAATGGTTATGTAAGCAAGCTGAACTGTAAATCTTCCTTCAGGAATGTGTATTAAGATTATGGAATGGGTGAAAGACTATTGGTAGGGGGAGAAAGTGGGTATGACTAAATGGATCTTTATGGCCCTATGATCTATCCTTTCCTTGAAAGTTTCTGAAGAAAAAGTGGAAAGATCATTCTGTTGCATTCCTCCATTCTTGTTTTTAAAAGAACAAGTCCCAAGCCCTACAAATGGCTTGTATTGAACTTTCACATTTGAATTAAAGATTGTTAAACATGAAGCCTTTTCATGTATTACTTCAAGCGATTTATGAAGATGGGGTTTAGTCTGAAAAATGCAACTCGAAAGTAAGAAGCGTAGTAACCATAAAGTAGGTTTAGCTATGTATGCATTTGTACTCTGTAACTTTTATATCTCCTTGTGCTACTGCTGGTGGGCAAAATCTGTAGGACTATAAAAATCTACTTGTTCTCTTGTCTAAGTAAACTAGTGGTGACTGTTAATGACAAATAGGGTTCCAGATAACGATTCTTACTGTAAAATATTTGTTAACTTGTTTTTCCATAGTTCACTTTCGATGTAGCACTAAATCTGGAGAGAGTTGCTTATGCTACACAGTACAAATAGCCCTTCCTCCCACCGTAAAGTTCTGGAGTGTTTCGATGGTGTTGTCAGTTGATTGTCAACTTCATTGAATCTCCTTCCATTAGGATAAGACATTTTGACTTAATATTAAAGTAGATTTAGTTACTGTTGTCTGTTAGTACAACGGGAACCTGTTTTCCCAGTGCATATATGTTAGCAGAGGAACAACTTCTAAAATTAGGTAAAGTAATTGAACGGTTTGGCTTTGTTCTTAGTTATGTTTCCATTCAAATTTGTACATTACAGAACTCTTACTATGGAATGTGTCTTCCTCCTTTTCACCTCTGTTCTTGGTGCTAATTGGCAAAAGTAAAATTCTAAATCAAATCTTGGTTAAAATACTGAAGTTTAGTATTGTGCCTGAGTACAAAGGGAAACCTATTGTTGAAACAATTGAGCACTTTCTGCATAGGAACCTGGATAATACTAAAAGTAAAACACTAGTGGAGTATAAAGGCATGTCACCCAATTATGGTTGTGTGACTGACAGGTATATGGTGTGCTAATTAAGGAAGAGAATCTCCTTAGAAAATGCTCATTATTTCTTCATCAAGACACTTGGAAATGGGTAGTAGTTCTACCATAATTCTATCAATGAGGAAGTTTTGTCGTAAGTCATCAACTGGTGATATGTATGAGGTTTTCTGTATGGAAACAAGGGTCTGGATTTGAAAGGAATCCATTACAATTTGATTGAATTGTATGGTAGGGACTCCACTAATGATAAAATAAGAAGGGGTGTTCATGGGACACCCACAGAGGGTGAACTTGAATGTGTGTGGGCGGGGGCTGGTGGGGAAGTGGGAAAATCTGCCTATAAAATTAATGTTTCAGTTTATTTTTCAGATTACATGCCTTTCTTTATAAGGGATGCTGGCACAGACCCCTAAAATAAGCTTTTGTTAGTACTGTACCTTTGAAGAGTGGTGAAGGATGCTAATGGATAATCTCCTGAAAGTTGTGGCTTTGATAGCCTTACTGTGGGCTGTAGAACTGCTAAACGTTGTTTAGCAAATAATGTTGCTTAGTTTCAACTAAGTTTTGCCTTTCATCACTGAAACAGCAGTGTACCAAGGGTTGTAAGCTACTCAAATAGACTTTCAATAAGTCTTGGAATGCATATGATAGTTTTTTAGACTAACGTGAATTTAAATCATCTTAAAAAGGAATTTCCTAAATCTGATCATGAAATGTGGGGTGGGAAAGGGAATGTAGTACTTTTGAAGTATTTTAGCCATTTTTCGCATTTAAAGAAACCACCTGCCCCCATTTCCTCTTCTCCACTTTCTCTCATAATTTTAAGAGGAACACTGATCCGTTTTAAGCTTATTACTCCTAATCTTTAAAAACTGCATTCTCTAAGAGACCCCAGTGTATTTAATTAGGTACCTTATAAGATTAACCCAATGGCTCACATTCAGTGAAACCATAGTCCTCTTGGCTTAGAACACTAATTAAACTCCTAAAGAAGTACTATAAACCCCACCACTCTTTATGTATAGATGTGTTATATCACTAATATAAACGATAATAATTTGGGAAATTGTAACGTTACGCCTGTGCAATTTTTTATGAGTGGCATATTATGGCAGACAAAAATTTAGATACTTGGCTTTTCTTGGGCAAGCCACTATGTTGTGGCGGAATGTTTTCTGGTGTTCTTGGACTGCAATTGTGCACTATTAAAGTAGTGGCCTGCTACATAACTGCATTTAGCCAGCATTTCTGCAGTGCGTAACTGTGAGGAACGTAGTACCGCAAATGGCAATGGACATTAGGACCCGGATGTAGTATTCCTGCTTGCTCCAAGATTCTCATTGCCGACTGCATACAGGTAGGTAACAAGCAATATAATCTAACTTGGTGACTTGCTATGTACTTTTATTCCGTGGGCATTCTGACATCACACTTCTGACAATGAAATTACAGTGCAGCACCTAACACTTGTATGGTAAAGCTAGTTTCTATCAAAACTGCGTGGGTTTGGGTTTAGAGCTGTAATTTGTCAGGCAGAATTCAGTGCTGTTGCAGTTCTCAGATAAAAAGTGCAAACTTGATTCTTTGGTATGTCTGATTCAGTTGCGTGGTTTCCTTTAGTTGCATTGTAACTGAAGAGAACCTGGAGCACGTCAGTGGTGTGGGGGAGAGGGAGTCAAACCATACTTGGGAAGTAGAGCGCTTTTAGCATCTTGACACGGACTGTATAGCATGCGATACTGAGTCTCTGTTGGAGCAAACTGACCTGCTCATAGGTCAGCAATATCGAATTCAGAATGCAATCTTGGTAATTATTCTGCAAGTTGAGTGAATTAAGACTAAAAGTACAGTTTTTTTGGTAATGTGATTTAAATTTTTTTTTTTTTTAAATGGGCTTCATGGGAATACCTTTGTTACTAACGTGGGCTTAGGCGGGAATCTAATGTGTATAGTACAAGTTATGTGACTTGTCTAAATATGTCTTATGCTCTAAACCTGGGGGAAAGTGGTGTGGCATGTTGACTTGCCTGCAGTTGCAGACATGTTGGGAATTGTTTCCCAATCCTAAGACTTCGTCGTATTCTCTAGGATAACTGCAAATGTTCAGAGTAGCTTTTCGAATTTGGTTCCCTTATTAGCTTTAGGGATGTGATGTTACATAATCCAAAATGTTCACCAAAAAAAAAAAATCTTCAGAATCACCTTCTTTTGTTACTTAGGACTTAAGCTTTGTAAGCTTTGCATCGACTGTTGTTCCAGACCTCAATTCAACTTTGGTCTCCCGAGCTGGTTTTTAGCTAGCATGCATGAGAAACAGCTTTCATGTATAATGCTTTCTGCTCTGTAACTGGAAAGTTCGGTTTACTTTGCATAAATGCCGGTGAAAACTCTTCATGACTATGAGAATTTTCTTCCATTGTATCAAGAAAAATGGCTTGCTCTTTGGCAAGCAATTCACAAGGTGGGGACAAATTGGTACTTTAATAATGTAGTCTGTTCAAGCAAATACCTTGACTCTCCTGTTAGGTAAAAAAGCAAATGGTAACTAGGTTCAGCTCTATATTAATAATACAATGCAGTGCAAACATAATGCTCAGTATTAGTGACAAAAGAGTGTCACTAAATTGACATACAACCCTGATGGGGTTTTCCTGTGGCATAATTCATTAAATCGGTGGCCAACGCTTGCTACCGTGATTTAGTGATTCGAGTGCTTAGAAATAAAAGCTCAGGTTTATTTCTTAACAGCCAATAACAATTTTGAGAGAATGTACTTGTTATAATCTGTGGACTTGAGGAACATCACTGGGGAGGGGGGTTAATTTTGCTTCATTTCTGCTTATTTCAAGATGAATAGGTTTTTTGCACTTTCAAATGAGAAACCTGTGACTTAAGTCGATTCTTACTAGTTTCGATTTGTATGTAGCTATAATTTGTGAATCTTAGTGTAGAGGATCTTAAAATCACTCACTCAAAAAGCTGGGAATAAATGGGTTGCAGTAACAACACTATACCGAGGTGCTTGCATTGTATTTCATAGTCTTTTCTTGTTACAAACCAAAGTTAATTCTTTTTAATGAGAATGGTCTAAGGTCAGAGGTGTGATGCCAGAATGCGTTTTCGTACTGTTAGGCCCTTGGAACAGATACCGGTGCTTTCTGAAAGATGAAAGAAATGGAATGGGTGCTCTTCACACAAGGTTGCAAAACCTACAAAGAATGCATAATAGTCTCATTTTCCCCAAGAAAAGAGATGCGTGTGACTAGTTTTGGACTTTTAACCTTAATGGGGGTTGCATGTCTCCTATTGTTAATCATTGTCAGCTGCAGTGACATGATCCACAGTCCTGCATTTACTGCCTTTCCCTTAATGATTTTGGACAGGTTTGAGAGAGCCAGGATGTTTGTTCTGGGCCTTTATTTGGTTTTGGCTTTTGCTGATAATGTTTCAGTGTTCTGTCAGCTAGTGCAGTTCTCAAATGGCTGCCTATTAGGGAAAGAATTCTGAGGATTTGACTGCTCCTAATCATCTGTCATTGCTGCTAGATAATGATTGGCAATTTTTAAGACTCAACTGTGGAAATCTCACAGTTGGTAAACCATCAACCATAAAAATGTTGCTTTTGAACACCAGTGCTGAAAAGATTTTATTTGGAGGGTGAAAAGGGGGCTGGTGGATGCAGGATAGGATAATCTGGAGAATGGGGGAGAATGCAAAACGATATAGTATCCCTTATGGATGGTACATGTGCAACAGGGAGCTCTTTTTTTTTATCCCCTTGGCAGTTAACTGATAGGGAGGAAGAAAAACCTGGAACTTGAATTAAGGCTGATCTTTCTGGTTTTTGTGCACTGTGGCCCTGCCAGGCATATATAGTGAAGGTGAATGTCTTCTCCCTCAGAAAAACTCAGGTTCCTTGCTGTCCCGAATAAGGCCTAGCTTCCCTGCCCTAACTGAAAACTCAGTGAGGACTTGGGAGGGAAAGAATGAGGCAAATGCAGAGGATTGCAGGATAACAACTGCATTGTTGTGTACTGTGGAATGGGGAGGGCACTCCTGGAGGACTCCTGCTGCAGGTGGTCAGTCCACCTGAGAACGGAAGACATACTTGAATGGGGAGCAGGGTATGTGCTTTTATATGAAAAGAGAGCTGATGTTAAAACTCATTTGGTAAGGTAAACGTTGTCACATACCTTCACATAAGGGATAGTATATTTTGGGTTGCAGTCAAACTTGATTGTGCTCAGACTGGTGAAAATAGATAGGCTTTTGTATTTTAAATAAGATACAGTTTTTATTTGAAATGAGCTGTCTACTTTATTACTTTACATAAGAATAATTTTAGATTTTTTTCCCCCCCATCAAGTTTCTTCCTGTTTTGTTTTTTTTTTAATGCTGTAACTTGCCCCTAATCTTTGTCTCTGGAATTTTACTCTTTAAATTTTGAAGTTAACTAGCATTTTCAAACCTTTATACCCTTGTCTTTTATATTAACTTTCTCTTATTATTCTTTAGGTAAGAATGATTGATGTTGGCTGATA